GGTCTTGATGTTACCGCTGTTACCTCCATTGCCACGTGCGCCTCCTCACGATCAATAACGCTCTCCAACCGGTCTTCGAGAAGATCATACAGATCACGGCCCTCATTGAAGAGGGTTTTGCAAGGGGAGTTGGCAAGAGCAGCCTCCCCTAGTAGGTTCGTTGCCGACCGCTCCAACGAGAGCAAAATATGACAGAGCATTGAATACTGACAGGGTTCATGTTGGCACAAGTGGGGGAAGGGGAACAGGGTAGGGTATTCTGTTATGGTCCTGGTCAATTTGGAAGTGCAGACTCACGAGAAAGTACAATGCCGTCCGATTGCAAAAGAAATGAATGAACTTGAGAGGAGAGAGAGGGAAAAAAGAAGAAGAAGAAGAAAGAAAGGAACAAAAAGAAGAAGAAGAAGATGTACTCAAGCAAACGATCAATTATAATTCCCCCTTCTCGCCAACCAACTCCTCATCCTTATCTCCTCCTCTCTCGTTCAAACAACAAATAACAATAGTAATAATAAGGAATGGCTGAACCAGAATCAATGTCCGAATCCCTCTTCTACTGCCAGCACAACAAGAGGTCCTCCATAGCCATGGCCGCCCTCCTCTCTCTTCTTCGTCCAGGCCGAGGCTATGGCGGACTAATAAGGGCCTCGCCCTGATGTTCAAAAGATAATGCAAAGCAGCTAATGGCCTCTTCCTCTGAGGCCGCCATGCCTGACTCTGCCTCGAAGCTTCTTGATGCAGTGCCATCCCAACGGGGGCCTTCCAGATGCAGCGCCTGCGAAGGTGATGAAGATGGTGTTCATCATAGCCAGGTAAGTACCCCTGGCGCTCCCCTCTCCTGGTCCCCTACGTCGTCCTCCTCCTACCCGAGCTCCTCCAGCATAGCCAAGGTGGAGAGCTGGGCGCTCCTCTCCCCCTGCACTCAACGCGATGCTCCTCCGCTCGTCGCTCCAGCAGCGTGACGCCCAAATTTGCATGCAGCAAATGAGGAAAAGCAAAACACTCTTCCTGGAGATATAGCAAAGAATCTGCCTCTTGGGTGGTGACTGCCGGGCTGCATGGCCTCCAAGCAACCAGTACCTCCTCCCTTTCGGCGGGAAACATCATTGCATGCTCTGATATCGTCCACACAGGCCCTAGACTCAGACTACTTGGACTGGTACCTGCCTAGACCTAGCCTACTGCTACTGGGCCTCTAAAAATTCTAATTTTTGCCTTCTTCTGCTCGGCCTGCGGTTCCCGACACATCTACCGTTACTTGAGTGGTACCGACCTTCCTGCCACTCAAGTGTTTTTCCCTGCTGCCGTCAAGTTTCGTGGGCCTACTCCCGCTACTTGAGAGTGTTTTCCCTGCTGCGAACCCTCAAAGTCACAGCCACAGGTAAGCATCGGCCCCTTGGGCCTTCCAAATGAACAAGTGCCCTGGCGGGCACACACACACTCAGATGGACAAACACGCAGACAGGCACACAAACCACCAAACACGCACACAGCTTTTCTCCTTTTTTTGTGGTTGGATTTACTTGAATACTTTTTGTTGGTTTTGCTTATTATACAGGAGCTAATTCTTTGCCCTGCTTTAGAGCATGGGCTGTTTGGATGTCTATGGGTGGCGACATGTTTTTTTTTTTTTTTTTTTGTGGGGGGGGGGGGGGGGGTGGAATGTATGTTTTGTGGGCCGGCATGGAAGGCTCTCCAAGTTTTTTCGGACCTTGTGGGCGGGTTGGGTCGG